ATGCACACCTTAAAACTGTCTGGATAGCACTATGCTAGCGCTAAACAGGAAGAACGAGCAGGAAGTTATAAAAAGGGGGCGGGGCATCATAAATGTGAGTCAACAGCTGGTGGAGCTAATTCTCCAGTCAGGTGCCATTAAGCCACCACAGAAGAAGACTTTATTTTGAGTATTTTCTGGAAATTCAGTTGATTTTTGCTCCACTTTTAATTAAATTTTTTTTTTTTTTACAGTTTATTGGATTTTTTTCCTTAAAAGTTGAACCTCGTTTTAATTTATTATGATGTGATTTTTTTTTACTGTGACATTATTTAATTTGATGTGTTGGAAATGTTCATCTCTCTCTTTCTCTCTCTCTCTCTCTCTAGGTGGAGGAAGCTCAGGGGGCGACCGACAGCAGCGGATTGGCCGGAGCTCGGTTGGACCAAGAGCCAGCCAACGAGACAAGCTACTCTGTGCCTCGACGAATCACCAGCCACCTCGGAACCAAGGTGATTAATTCTACCTAGCAACACAATTACAAAACCTGCTAACCCTCCACCAAATGTGTCGCCCCCTACAGGTGGAGATGGTGTCCGCTGTAAAAAGTTGTCTGTGTCGCCCCCTACAGGTGGAGATGGTGTACAGTCTTCTGTCGATGTTGGGGACTCACGATAAAGACGACATGTCGCGGACGCTGCTCGCCATGTCGAGCTCGCAGGACTCGTGCATCGCCATGCGTCAGTCTGGCTGTCTGCCGCTGCTCATCCAGCTGCTGCACGGCAACGACAAGGACTCCCTGCTGCTAGGTAAGTTAGTTCCCAGAGAAGGAAAGTGTTCTTGTCTGTTTCTCACAGGTAACTCACCTGTTGGTTTACATTAGGTAACTCCCGCGGCAGCAAAGAGGCTCGTGCGCGTGCGTCGGCCGCACTGCACAACATCGTCCACAGTCAGCCTGACGACAAGAGGGGCCGGCGGGAGATCAGAGTGCTCCACCTGTTGGAGCAGGTCCGCCATTACTGCGAGGAGTGTTGGAGCTGGCAGGAGAACCACGAGAGGGGCGTCGACCAGGAGGACAACCCCAGTGAGTGATGTCACACACACACTGACAAATCAGGAGGACAGACGGCATAACGCGTCGCATGTCCAAATTTTTAATAGTTAATGTATAATGTCAACAAAGCGTTTCAAAGATGGAGAGAGATGTTGGGCTTATGTTCTGTAACCAGTGTAGCACAAAAGCATTGTGGGATTAGCAAGCTAGCTAGCGGATGGGTGGCAACTTGGCTAGCCTGCTAATCCCACGATGCTTTAATACAGTACTGGTTACAGAACATATAATCAAGCTGTTGTGTCTTCAGTGCCGTCTCCAGTGGAGCGTCAGATCTGTCCGGCCGTCTGCGTCCTCATGAAGCTTTCATTTGATGAAGAACATCGACACGCCATGAACGAACTCGGTCAGTGGGACCATCAGCTGGTTTAGTGTTTCTCTGGTTTAATGTTTCCTCTCTGGTATTCATACCCTCTGTATGGCTGTGGGTTATTTGTCCCTGCAGGCGGTCTGCAGGCGGTGGCTGAGCTGCTGCAGGTGGACTGTGAGATGTTCGGTCTGAGCAGCGATCATTACAGCGTCACCCTGCGGCGATACGCCGGCATGGGGCTCACCAACCTCACCTTTGGAGACGTAGCCAATAAGGTCGGAGGAAAACACAAACATTTACTGACTAATCAATCATCACACACGCACCTCTAACTCTGTAACCAATCGGATCACATCTTCACCTTGTTGTTTTCCCGTCAGGCCACGCTGTGCTCCATGAAGGGCTGTATGAGAGCGATGGTCGCTCAGCTGAAGTCTGACAGTGAAGACCTGCAGCAGGTAAACTCACCTGTGTTTAATGACGGTTCAGATTTACAGAACTTCTCAACACAACTCTGAGCTCCTCGTCAGCACGATGGAGGCTTCTGTCTCAGCTTCTGAATATTTCCTTGTCCTGTTGGTCATTGTTTTTCTAGGTGATAGCTAGTGTGTTGAGGAACCTGTCGTGGCGTGCTGATGTGAACAGTAAGAAGACGCTGCGTGAGGTCGGCAGCGTGCGAGCGCTGACCGGCTGTGCTCTCGAGGTCCAGAAGGTAAATAACAACTAATCGACCCTCTGATCACGGAGACGTTACGAGGCGGTTTCTCTCCCGTGTCTCCCGTCACATTTCACTTTCTGTGGTCTTAAGTTTTTCACTTCAAAATAAAAGTCCTGCTCCTCTCTGGAAACAGAACCATCATGACTAGAAGTAGAACTAGAACACGTCTTTAATGCAGAACAACACAGTGATGACATCAATCATTAAAAAGTTGAATTTCTTTGATAATTTATTTTACAAAAATTAGAAAACAATAGAATTTATATATCCAACATTTCTCCAACTGTCTCCAAGTGTAGGAAAAACATGGAGGCTCTACATGTTATAAATATTAAACTATTGACATGTTTCAGCCTCTCCTCTCCTCTCTCCTCCCCTCTCTCCTCTCTCCTCTCTCCTCTCCTCCCCTCTCTCCTCCCCTCTCCTCTCCTCTCCTCCTCTCTCCTCTCCTCTCCTCCTCTCTCCTCTCCTCTCCTCCCCTCTCTCCTCTCCTCTCTCCTCTTCTCCCCTCTCTCCTCTCCTCTCTCCTCCCCTCTCTCCTCTCCTCTCCTCCCCTCTCTCCTCTCCTCTCCCCTCTCTCCTCTCCTCTCCCCTCTCTCCTCTCTTCTCTCCTCTCCTCTCTCCTCCCCTCTCCTCTCTCCTCTCCTCCCCTCTCTCCTCTCCTCTCCTCCCCTCTCTCCTCTCTCCTCTCCTCTCTCCTCCCCTCTCT